TTTGAACCCACCACCCTTGGTATATGGGGCTGGTGCCCTACTCACTGAGCCATAGGCGCTGCCCTTATCTCTCTTTTAAAAAAGAAAAAACTGAAGTCTCGAAGTGACAGTCTCACTTAGGTACTAGTTAATGGCAAAACTGAGCTTAGATTCTTTCCATTATGCCAAGGGATTAAGAAAACAAAGCCTTTTCTTGATACACAGGAATTTCTAGGATTGTGAAATGCCTTGACAACCAGTAGTAGTAGTACATGCTTCATCTTTCTTGGCTCTTTTGCAGCTTAAACTGAAAGGTTACTTGTTATCTTTCAACTTATCCGGCAGAATCAGGTTTTCAGTTATTGGCAATTAATTTTAGTCCCCGGGGAGGTACATGGGGTTTTATAAAGTCATCCTTAGCAATCCCTGTGACATTGTTTTCCTTTGATTCCATAGGAGCACCAGCCTCGCTCCGGCCTCCTGCAGTCCTCTGTCATCACCCTCTATACTATGTATCTCACCTGGTCAGCCATGTCCAATGAACCCGGTAAGCAGATGTCGATAGCACAGTCATTTGATGAAAAAAAGTAGGAAATTACCCCTTAGGTAAGTGTAAAAAACAAGAGCTAGGGCAAATATAAAACAAAACAAAATTTCATATAAATGTGCATTGTCCATTGTAGTTTTGCAGATGTTGACTTTTCACATTTTATTTCCCACGGCTGTTCATAGCTGTTCATGAAAACCTATGTTCATAGCTGATAGCCTAAAGCAGCGGTTCTCAACCTGTGGTTCGCGACCCACAGGAACTATATTTAAGGGCCATGGTATTAGGAAGGTTGAGAACCACTGGCCTAAAGAGTTTTTCAGATACTTAACCTAGGCTGAGTCAAACTAGTAAGATCTCTGGACAAGGGCAGCCTTGTTTTGGCCTTTTATGAAATTGTTTTAATTGACTTTTACTTTGGTGCCACAGGCCCTAGAAGAAATAGTTGGAGGAATCTTTTGTAGTTATTATAGGATTATCAATCAATAGGATACTCTGTGGGCTCCTTTTAAAAGAAAACAATTACCCCTCTCCAATGATAAGGTATTTTAAGACAGAGTCTTCACTATGTCACCCTCGGTAGAATGTCGTGGTATCACAGCTCACAGCAACCTCTCTTGGCTTAAGTGATTCTTTTGCCTTAGCCTCCCAAGTAGCTGGAACTACAGGTGCCCACTACAATGCCCTGCTACTTTTTGGTTGCAGTTGTCATTGTCATTTTAGCTGCCCCAGGCCGGGTTTAAACCTACCAGCCTTGGTGTATGTGGCTGGCACCCTACTGACTGGGCTACGGGCGCTGCCCAGCATTGTTACATAACTATGTAAAAATAGAAGTAGGAGTAAACTTTGTGCTTAAAGCCTTGACATTATAGAACTAAAGAGATTTGTCAAACTACAAAACCAATAAAATCAAGAATCACATTTGTGAAATTTAACAGATACTATTGTTTTCTTTTTTTTTCCTAATAGTAAGTCACTGGTTGTGATGCAAATATGTTATTAATTGCTGAATTTCA